CTGCTATTATTCGGTCTCCTTGTTGTTACAAACTGTCATGGCTATCTAGGACCTCTGAACAACATGGGTGCCCTTTTGGGTTGCTTAGTACATTTTACCATTACAGAGGCCCCTAGTCAGTTGAACCCATGGGGTCCCCCTGGCAGGTTTCTGAAGGTTTCTCATACATGCACTCTAGTGGGATAACATTGACCTCAGTAGTGTGCACATGGGGCGCTAAAGGAAGATGAGACAAGCTGTAATGTGAAACTGATGTCTATGGTTTATGTACTTAAAGTTGTTATTGGGTACATTACATTAATACAGTATTTTCTCAATAGAGTCTTTAATGTAAAGTTTTAACTTCTTTGAGTTGACTATTTTTTTCTGCCTTTTGTAAACAATTTAGGAAAGCTTAATTGTAATTTTTATTCAAGATTAAATCAATATTATTTGAAGCCATTGTCACAGGGCCCTCAAATGACCTGGGGCCCATAGGGTGGAGCCTACTCTGTCTATTTGGTAATCTGACACTGGGTGCAAGGACAAGAATGACTTGTGTGGTTTCTCATTAGCTGCTTGAAGTCATATGAATTAACAGTCCAACTCCAGATAAAACTGAAATAAATTAAAATAACCTAACCACACATGGAGAAAAAAAAATATGTTCAATAAAGTGATCTTATGGACAAATCTCCTGTCTATTGGACTTTTGGAAGGAGAAAATTAAAATGCACACAGAGAAGTAGAATATTATGGACACAGAGCAGGCTTGGGAGAGAACACATATGAATGTCCCCATAACAAGAGGTTTGCTATGGGGGCACTTGGTAGGGGGGATCCAGGAGCATCAGCAGGGTACCTGTGAAAAAGGTGTATCAGGGCTGCACTGTGCAAAACTATTGCACAGAGTATATAAGCATAATGTGTGCGTAGCACCCTCCTAGTGAGAGCTAGACTCTAATTGCTAGCTAGAAAGGCTGAGTAGCAGCCTGGGTGTGATATCTAGCAGCAGTCAAAGCCAAGATTCTCTGCAGACTAGCCCTCTGGAATCTCCCCCCCCACTCTAGAACTTTGGAGAAAGGTCTAGAAGCAGTGGGCAGATCTGAGGAGTGGCTGGTCTGTACTCTTAGAGGATGCTGGCCAATCCCCAACAGGAGTCTTGGCAAGTGGCTGGTACAACCTTTAAGAGTAACTGAGCCTGCTCAGCAGGAAGGAGTTGGAGAAGGAGAGTTCGGGTGGAAGTGAGGCTGCAGAGAGGAGCCTGGGAGGGGGCCCAGATAAGAGAGGGAATCACCTCCAAGCAGGAGGACCTTGGAAGGAGGAAAGCTCAAGACTTCACCTGCCCCCCTGAGAAAGGATCACCTGTGAGGCCAGGAAGGAACTGCCCAGCTAAAATGCTTGGTGACAGCCATCGACCCACCAGCAGCACAGGAGAAGATTTGAGTGAGTAGACCTGCACCCCCTGGGCCAGATAGGGGAAGGAGGCACTCTAGTAGGAAACTGGATTAGCGTGCCATCCAGGACTGCTTTACCATTCATGTAGCACACACTGAATCCCCTGCTCAGGGATTTACCCAGAACAGCTGGATAAGGAGTATCTAGGATCTGGGATGGTACTACAGGAGACGCTGGCTAGCTCTCTAAAAAGAGACAGTTTTGCTGTACAGACTTGTAAATACTTCCAGGAATTTGTCCTCGGTTTCTCAGTTCAATTGGGCATCCTGTACACCCCTTACCCTATCCAAGTTACAACTCCCTAATAAGAAAAAAAAAAAAAAAAAAAAAAAAAAAAATCACAAAAATAAAGCTCAAGGGCTAGTCACTAACTCCTAGATGCAAATTCTTGTGAAAATGTGTGCACTGCCTGGCTGTGCAGGACAATTGGGGGACCCAAAACTTCAGCAGCTCCCAAGGGGGTAGTGCTACATGTGTTATTTTAATTAAAAAAACAAGCAAAACATTTACAAGTGTGAATGGACCCTTACACTTTACACAAATTTTTATAACACATCCTGAACATAACAGAGAAAAATAACATATGTATACCAAAAAGTACTTCCATTTACTATGTAACAAATAGTAGGATCACACATTTTTTAGCTGTCTTTTCTTGCTATACAGCATAGAAAATGTGTGCTTCTTCCAGAAATATTTGGATCAGTATCCATGAATGGAACAACATCTGCTTGCGAGCATTCCGAAAATATTTCTTTCTTAATGACAGCTCATGTTTTGGAGGAAGAAAAATAGAAATGGTGCTATTTCATTATTAATAGGTGTCACAGAGAGCAGATGTGCTGAAATTCATTATAATGGAGTTATGAATATTTCAACATTTTTGCTCTTTTTACAGATTTTTTTTTTCTTTTTGAAGAAGTAAAGCAGTGTAAAAAAAGCACTGTCATTTGGAATTCTAATGTTCCATGATACAAGGGACGGACAGCTGTATCATATGTAATGGAAGAATAATGTTAAAGTAACCAAACCAAACCTAACCAAATCAGCATATTTGTTGATTGACAATTACAGTGCCAAAGTTTGATGGAGTGACAAGGGTTAGATCCTCTGTGAAGTTTTTATTTCTGACTGTGCCACCCACTGAAGATTCACCTGTTTGTCCTGATGACCATTGTTACAAGATTAAAAATGATGGGAAATACAAAATTATGAGTTATCACTAAAAAGAGGAACAAAGGGGAAAAACTCCAATAGAGATTTTCTTCTACTTCCTGCTGAGCCTACAGGGCAGAAAGTAATAGGAAAAATATGCAGATTGCAAAAATCAAAATTGACAGCAGTTTTAACCATTCCCTACTCTAGTAACAAAAACGATTTAGCTGTAGATATACTTTAAAATACATATAAGCTGTCAGTCTACAAATCAGCATGAGGCAACTAACTGTCAGAAATCAAGGAGTGACCAGAAAGGTGTGGACTGACACAGGGAAACGCAGGTTTCAGGTATAGTATAATACAGGTTATTATTAGCCACCCAGATATATATATAAACGCACAGTGAGCAAACTAACCTTCCACTAATCTTAGGAGGTGCAGGAACACAGGCGTAGTCAGGGCTGGAGAGGTGGAATGGTCAGGCCGGCCGTAGGGTTCTGTAACGACTGCCTGGTGGTACCTCTAGCGGTCCTCAGGGCAGGATTCCCCAGGGCGCGGAGTCTAAGTCCCAGTCTGCTATTCACCAGGGCCCCTGATGGTGGGGATGGACTTGGAGCAGACAGGAACCAGGTCGCGGCCCCTGAGTACACCTGCTAGTGATAGAGGGATCCGCCAGAGGTATGTGCAGGTACGGCTGGATCCGTGCAGGATGGATGGATGGCGGAGTAGTGAGCGTGGTCAGACGGGCCAAGTCAGCAACGTGCGGGCAGCAAGGTATCAAAGGAGCAGGCAGAGAATGGTCAAGGTCACAAGCCGGGTTCAGTAACTCACGGACAGCGCAGTACAGAGGATCAGGCAGAAGGATGGTCAGGGATGAGCCAGTAGTCAGAACAGGAGACGGTCAACAGGAATCAGGATCAGGCAGGGTCAGCAACAAGATATCTTCTCACAGGAACTAGGAACAGGATACAGGGGCTCATGGGAAAACATACACCAAGGCCCAGAGCACAGGCCTGGTCATGCCTTATATACACCTTTCTGTAATCAGCCCCAGGTTTGGCTGATTGTGAGCTTCTGGCTGCTAAGAGCACCCGCTGGTCAGCTCTGGTACTGCAGCCCACATGGCAGGTGAGTCCCACCACCAGTGCTGAGTCCATTGCTGAGAGCACCCGCTGGTCAGCTCTGGTACTGCAGCCCACACGGCAGGCGAGTCCCACCACCAGTGCTGAGTCCATTCTTGACACTAACGGAGATCCAAAGAGGTCAAGAGGCCTGATTTACTAGGGTATAAAGTTGATGCAAAAGTGACACTAAACATCTAATAACCTGCAGAAGAAGACATATTGTTTCCAATTCCCCTGCATATGAACAGTTGTTTGCCAAGGCAAGCTCATGGCATCAAACGTTACAGTGAATCAGGCCTATCATCACTTCACTTTTCTTCATTTTACACATTTAAAGTACGCCCATAATTCTAAATGCATTAGCCCAAATACATTAAAAAAATTACTTAAAGTGGTTGGAACCCTTACATATGCCCAGTGATGTGACTAGCCTCAGGTGATACACAGAAATTAAACAAATCCTCCTACCTAAGCTGTACTTATTTATCTGGATCACCACCTCTCCTCTACAGCCCCTAAAGCACACATTTTACACAGCATGTCTGAGCTTAGGGATCTGATATCACACACTGCACAGCACAGAGAGGAGAGCTCAGTGTAATCTGAGACCTCAGCGGAGGGAAAAAAGACACACACACCGTCGCCACATGGGCTTATAGGGAAGCATGCACAGCTGAGGCTGTCAATCAACTGTTGTGTGTTGGGGTGGTGTGGCCATCTCATGGGATACATCTGGTGTCGGCATAGACTCTTGGAAGTTAATAGTACCGGGTGCTGCAATGACCACCAGATGTATACTGGAGCATGCACGACACAGTGTAAATATTCATGAGCACACCACAGATCTTCAGAATAAGTCCAAACTTTTTTTATTGAAGAAAGATCACATCAGAAACAGAGAAGTGCAATGTTTCGGAGCTACACAGGACCCATTCTTCAAGCATATACTTGAAGAAGGGGTCCTATGTGGCTCTGAAGTGCATCACTTCTGTTTGTGGTGCGATTTTCTTCAAACAAAACAAAACCATTTGGACTTATTCTGAAGATCTGTAGTGTGAAGATGGTTAGAATTGACTGCATATAATAAACCTATCACACTATGAAAAGCCTACTTTATCCATACTGGGCATTGCACACATATGTGGTTACAAGAACATGTTCATGTGCTTTTTGACCTTTAACCACCTCTGCACCACCATACTGGAAAAAAAGGAAAAAGTTCAGAGATGTAGATGTGTATTTCTGGAGTGCAGTTTAAAAATGACACTTCAAAAAACACACGTTGGTGACCAGTGGGCTGGTGAATAGCTGTGATCTGAGTTTTTTTTTGTAAATGCTTTTATCATAGTACAATGTCACCATAGTAACATTGTTTTACTCGGGGGGGGGGGGGGGGGGGGGGGGGGGGGTTTGCTTTGAACTGTCATGAATGGGTTAAGTTCATGACAGTGTAAAATACAGTGATCTGTGATTGGCTCCAGCTGGTCATATGGTGCAGGGTGCTGTGATTGGCCTCATGTACATTGTGAGAGCTGTGGGCCAATCACAGCTCTACAGAAACAGAAGCAAAGTTGTTATGAATCAGACTGATTCGTAACAGCTTTGTTGTCATTGTGATCACATAGCAGTCGCAAGATCTCCGGGTCCTGATTACTGGCTGGGTGATGAGGTGATCAAAGGGTTAATGGTGCTAATCTAATGTGTGGATCTTATGTTGGCAGGACAGAAGTTGCAAACAAGGATGAATCTGCACAGACATACCATCAAGGAACATAAAGAAGATGACTTTTGCACACCTGTGGGACACCATTTCACACAACCAGACCACACTATGGAAGACCTCAATATCTTAGTTCTTAAAGTAAAATTTCAAAACTATTCAGGAAAGGAAAACGTTTGAACTAAGAATGATAATTCTATTTGATACAAGAGAGAACGGCCTTAATTTGGACATGGGATTTCTCACTCATTATCCAACAGTTTTATGACTCCCCTCTGTGAGTGTTGTCCCCCCCCCAGTCTTTGCTTTTGCTGTGTCTTATCTCTAGTCTAATCCTAGTCTTATAACCATTGCTGTGTACATTTGTTTGTGTTTTTGTTTAGTTTTTTCTCCCCCGTTCAACATCTCTAACATTCTGCTAAAACTTTGTGAAATAGTACTGCCTGGACCTTGAAGAAGGGGACACTCCCTGAAAGCTTGTACTCAAAATTGTATGTTAGTGCAAATAAAAAAAGTATCACGTCAGTACTCAATTTGTGTGTGTGTGTGTGTGTGTGTGTGTGTGTAAAATGTAGTGCTTATACTCAGTGTGGTGTTCTCTCTTTTCTACACACACACACACACACGGAAATAGAAAGCGACGTTAAAAAAGAATTCAATATTTTTATTTCTTTAAACATATTTTCTTTTTTTAATGCTTTCATCAGTGTAGTACATGTTACCATAGTAACATTGTACTACTCTGGGGAGGATGATCAAGGATTTAATTTTTTTACATTGAAGAATGTTACTTCTGCAATGCAATGTTTGCATTGAACGTTCATGAATGAGCTAAGTTCATGACAGTTTAAAATACAGTGATCTGTGATTGGCTCCAGCTGGTCACATGGTACAGGGTGCTGTGATTGGCCTCATGTACATTGTGAGAGCTGTGGGCTAATCACAGCTCTACAGAAACAGATGCAAAGTTGTTATGAATCAGACTGATTCGTAACAACTTTGTAGTCATTGTGATCATGTGATCACATGATCACCGGGATCTGTGTTCCACTGTTTCAGGTGGACACAGTGGACATGGGTGGGGGGGCAGTATTGCGCATCCGCTTTGGCATGCAGCGCCCCCCCGCGTTGAAGCAGCACCAGCGATGTATAGGTATGTCGCTTGTCCAGTGGCTGCCACCCGTTTGCAGCACATTGCAGGGGGAGGATAGAAAGTAGTTAAAAGATAAAGTAATGAAAGTTAAATGTAAGCAAACCCAAATTTTTGATATTTTTAAATATTACTGCAGTACCATGCAATCTGGTTGCAGAGCAACTTTAAAAGTAGTGGATGCGAGTGCGATTTCAGCCCATTCAAATGAAAAACGGACTGGAGCTGGTTGTTATTAGCTAACACCTGTTAGCTTCACTAGAGTTAAGTAATTATTTTTTTATAAACACAGCACACTTTTCACTTCTTTTGCTTCTATTTATATCACCTAATATTTCTAACAGGTGATCATCTCTTTAAAATGCATAGTCAATTCTTTTTGTTGGGTGTGATTTTTATTTTTCTAACCGTTGTTTGGATTAATACTCTAAAACATATTATTGATCCTGAACTCAAGGTGTGCTTTTCAGATGTAGAAATAAGTATTAAATATGTAAAAAAAACAAATGAAGGCAGAGGGAAACCAGTTAATCACCAGGTTTTGTATGTCTGACCTCTCGATTAAACTCAGATGGGAAAATTCTGTACATCCTGCAGCTGGTTTAAAACTGTACTGCACGTTTACATTTGGCAACGTCACCTCCAGCATTGTGAATGGCACATGTGTGCTATATAATTATATTGACCATGGATTTATGCACCTGTGCTGCATGTTTTTATTACATTTTCTTGGCCTGCTTCTAGAGACAATGTTTTATACGCTAATAACCCAATTTCACCAAACATAAAACTGTGACAATCAAGTCTCAGCAAACATTGCCTGAGTCGTTGACATAATGTACTGAGAAATAGAGTTATGGCTCTTTAATTACTGTAAATTCGGAGTCTGTTAGGGAATGTTGCATAGGGGCTAGCTGTCTGAGCACACAAAATGTTTAAAGTATGATTCATAGTTTAAAGGGGTCTGTTGGCACAGAGTTCCTGTTGTAGTTGGTGGGTCTATGTCATTCCAGGCAAATGTTCTAGACCTCATAAACATTAGTATTAAACTTTGTTGTATCAGAGAGAGGTATCTTCACGTAGAATTGGTGTGATATACAGACCCCCAGGACAGAGAGGAATCTTCCCGTAGAATTGGTGTTATATACAGACCCCCAGGACAGACTGAAGATTATGATAACTTGTTGACTGATGAGATAACTCAAATGACAATGAAGGGGGAGGTTTTGATTATGGGTGACTTCAACATGCCTGACATTAATTGGAATTCTCAAACTGCTATTACAAGCAGGAGCAGGGATGTCATGGAAGCACTGAATGGGCTCTCTAAAACAGTTAGTAAAACGTCCAACCCGAGGAGATCATATTCTAAACCTAGTACTGACAAATGGGAATCGACTGTCTAATGTTGAGGTGGGAGAAAATGTGGGTTCTAGTGATCACCAATGTTTTTGGTTTGATATTAAAATCACTGAAAATCATATACAAAAGTTTTAGATTTCAAAAAGACACATTTTGCTGAAATGGGGGAACAGGGGCGGACTGACCAATTGGAAACTCGGGCACTGCCCGAGGGCCCAGGGTCAGTAGGGGGCCCCATGAGATGCCCCTGGTACCTTTTTCATAGGCTTTTTTGAGTTTGGGCAAGGACACAGGGGCCCCATGGTCCCCTATTGCCCGGGGGCCCCATGAGTTGTAAGTCTGCAAGTCATAGGAATTTCTAAAAAAATTAGTTGAAAGGTTGGAGTAAAATTGACAGTAGTAAGTAATCAGTGGGCACCATTAAAGTCTACCATCCTGGAGGTAACTAGATAATATGTCAGGCAAGTTAGTAAGAATAAAACAGAAGAAAAAAACAATATGGATCACTAAAGAGATAAGTAGGATAGTAAAAAAAAAAAAAATCAGCATATAGGAGATTCAAGGAAACAGGAGGTGTAGCTGACAGAGAAGAGTATAAGAATAGACAAAAAGGAGACCAAACACATTATCAGTGCTGCCAAAGCACAGAAAGAGGAGGAAATTGATAAACATATTAAGAAAGGTGATACAACCTTTTTTAGGTACATTAGTGATAAAAAGAAAAATAGAATGGGATCACTCAAATGAAAACTGGGAACACTTATGTTAAGGGAGACCTGGATGTAGCAAATCACTTAAACAATTACTTTTGTTCAGTCTTCTTAGAAATAAATTATACTAATAAAAATAAGTTGATTGGCAGACAGCTAATATTGTACCTATCCACAAGATGGGCAGCAAGGTAGAAGCTGGCAATTACAGGCCAGTAAGTTTAACATCGGTTGCAGTCAAGTTAATGGAATCACTCCTGAAAAGAAGGATTATTGATCATTTACAAACACACAACTTGCTGGATCCAGAGCAGCATGTCTTTACCAAGGACAGATCATGTCAGACTAATCTGATTGGATTTTTTGACTATATTGCCAATGTTTTGGACCAGGGTGGTGCTGTGGACATATCATGATCTCAGCAAGGCATTTAATATAGTTCTGTATAATGATCTTATAAAAAAGTTGTACAAGCTAGGACTTAACCCTTGAATAGAAGAATAGATATCAGAGTGTGGTTGTAAATGGGATTTGGTCGGAACAGAGACTAGTCACTAGTGGGTGTACCACAAGGCTCTGTACTAGGTCCTGTTCTATTTAATCTATATGTAAGTGATATACAGTTAGGTCCATATATATATTTGGACACATGCACAATTCTAGTTTTTTTCAGGTATTTATAAAACATAGTCAAGCTTTAGTTATATAATGGATATGGGCTGAAAGTGCACACTCAGGTTTAATTTGAGGGTATGTACATCCAAATTGGGGAAAGGTCTAGGAATTACAGCTCTTAAGAGTAGCCATCCCCCTTTTTCAAGAGACCAAAAGTAACTGGACAATTGAATCAAAAGCGGTTTCATGGCCAGGTGTGGGCTACTCCTTCATTTTTTCTTCATCAATTAAGCAGGTAGAAGATCTGGAGTTGATTCTAAGTGTGGTATTTGCATTTGGAATTTTGTGCTGTGAACCTACATCATGTGTTCAAAGGAGCTGTCCATGCAAGTGAGACAGGCCATTGTAAGGCTTCAAAAACAAAACAAATCCATCAGAGAGATAGCAGCAACATTAGGGGTGGCCAAATCAACACTTTGATACATTCTGAGGAAAGAAGAATGCACTGGTGAGCTCAGCAAAATAAAAAGGCATGGACGTTCACGGAAGACAACAGCAGTGGATGATCAAAGGATCCTCTCTCTATGGTAAAGAAAAACCCATTCACAACATCCAGACAAGGAAGGACACTCTCCAGGAGGTGGGCGTATCATTGTCAAAGTCTACAATCAAGAGAAGACTTCACAAGTGCAAATACAGAGTGTTCACCACAAGGTGCAAACCATTCATAAGCCTGAAGAATAGAAAAGCCAGATTAAACTTTGCCAAAAATCATCTAAAAAAGCCAGACCAGTTCTGGAAAAGCATCCTTTGGACAGA